TTTGCCATAAATAGCCTTTCTTCTCACTCTGGATACCTCCTCCTTTACATCAGCAAGCTCAGCCTCCACGCGCAGAGAAGCACCATTCACAAATCCCTCCGTCGCCCCTCGCGCAACCCTGCGCCTTGATGGCACCGCCTGTACGAGTCCCTGGGACGCGAGCCAAAAGCCGAGGGGCCCAGGGTTTCACCTCCAGGCTGATTACCTTGCCAGGTGAGCCAAAGCACTGATTAGTCATGAGCGCCAACACACGCGACTGAGCGTGCACACACACACACACACACACACACACACACACACACACACACACACACACCCCTCCCTGGAGCCCCTGACGCGCCACCACAAAGCAATTGGTTCACACTAAGTCGCCGCTGCTCCTGCCGCCGCCGGGGAGGGTCTCGCCTCCGATCCAGGAAGCGGGCGCCCGAGCAGAAGCAGGCGGAGGCGAGAGGCGGTCCCGGCTCGGGCACTGCGGCTCCCCGCCCCCTCCCCCTCCCCCCTCCGTGGCGTCGCCCGCAGCCCCGGGCGCCAGCGCCGGCCGGCGGTCCCTACCTGCGGGACGCGGGCGGCGACGGAGCGGAGCGGCCCGCAACCTGCGCCAACTCCGGCATCGCCCTGGAGCGGCGGCCGCGGCCCCCCGGAGCCGAGCGCCCCGGAGCAGAGCGCCCCGGCGCGCGGAGGAAGAGGCCACGCAGCGCGCGGGGAGTCGCGGGCCGGCGGCGAGCGGGCGCCCCCCCCGCCTGCAAGGCCAGGTCCCCGCGCCGCGCCAGCCGGGCCCGCCGCCCGCGCCCCGGGCCTGGGCGGGGGCTGCTCCGGGGCGGCCCGGGCGCGGCGCGGTCACCTGCCGCCGGGCAGTCGCCCCGCGTCCGCCCGGGTCTGGCGCCGGCGACGCAACGCGCGAACCCCGGGGCGCGGCTGGGGCCCGGGGCACCGGGGGCACCGGGGGCGTCACTACCTTGAAGGGCTCCGCGCCGCTTGTTAAGGCTTCTCCCGGGCACTCAGAAATGTGTGTCTTCGGGGCTCGGGGGTGTCTTTCCTGGTCCCCTCCTCTGCCCTCCCTCCCCTTCTCGGCTGTTGGGCTCCTTCTCTCCACTCCCAGTTGCAGAGTCGAGCTGCGTTTTTTAATAATCCTCCTTCTCCTCCAGCCTGCGCCCGCAGCGCCGCCGTGCCTGAGCCACCGCTTCCCAGGCAGTCATGTTGAGGGAGAGAGAGAGAGAGAGAGAGAGACACGGATTGGCAGCCGGTCGGCGACTGTGCGCGGTGAGAGAGCAGAGCGGAGCAGGAGGAGGAGGAGGAGGAGGAGGGGGCAGGGGAGGGACGCGGGGAGGCGCTTCCAAGTGTGTGAGTGCGCGGAGTGTGACTGCGCGGGGAGCGCTCCCCGACTGCGGAGGGGGCGGCGGCGAGCTCGGCCTTTATAGGGAGGGGGGCGGGTTACGCGCGGGGCGGGGCGGGGCGGGGCGCGGCGGGGCGGGGCGGGGCGGGGCGCGGCGGGGGAGGGGGGCTGCGAGGGCGGCGCCCAGCACTCGCAGCCTCAGGCGCTGGCGCGCGCACACCCACCCGCGGCTGGCCCGTGGCTGAGTTTTGGCTTTGAGGGAAGCCGTTTCCGACCGCGCTCACTCGGCTTGCCCCCTAGCCCAGCCCTGTGCGTGTGTGGAGTCCAGGTGCTTTGAGAGTCCAAAACACAAGAAGCGGAGTCCAAAGCAATGCGAAGGGACCTCAAGGATGCTGAAAATGCAGTCGGTGTCTTTTTCTCTCCAAACCACCAATGTGACCTTCTGTCTCTTCCACCTCTCGTTGTGAGGTTCTGTCACCCTTTCTCCTTCTCACCCAACCTAGTCATATATGGACGGGTCTCCTCCCTCCATGGCAGCAAGGAAAGAAGCCTGCCTTCTGAGCAAGCCACGCTTCGCAGGAACCATTGGCGGCAGTGGGTTCTTCCGTAGGAAAATGGGAGCATTAGAACTGTGACCCGGAGTGGAGCTTCTGTTCCTACACCTAAATTCCTCGACCACGTGGTGATTACAAACAGAACCAGCTACCATTTTGATACCATCTGACTGATGGCCCCTGGAGAAAATTTTCCAACTTAGAGATGGGGAAGACTTCAGATGCATGGTGCTGTTGCTTCCCTGATTTATTTATCCTGGTTCTCTCTGCCATTGTATTGCCTCGTTTCCTTTCAGGTTTGCACTGGGTCCTGAAGTCTTTCCCATCCATCCCCTTCTTTATCTCCACTCTAGTATATTTATGTCTATCAGGCAATACAGCAGATGGAGTGCATTTAACTGTGTGTGTGTGTGTGTGTGTGTGTGTGTGTGTGTGTGTGTAGGAAACGTTTTTTAATCCATTCTGGTGCCATCTAGGATCATTTTTGTTTGTTTGTTTGTTTGCTTGTTTGCTTGTTTATTCATGAGAGACACAGAGAGGCAGAGACATAGGCAGAGAAGCAGGCCCCATGCAGGGAGCCCAATGTGGGACTTGATCCCAGGACTCCAGGATTAGACTCTGGGCTGAAGGCAGGTGTTCAACCGCTGAGCCACCCAGGTGTCCCATCTAGGACCATTTCTATATAGATAATTCATCTCCAGTGTTGTTTGTACACCTGACATCATCTCTCTAGCTAGCCTGCTGCCCACTTTGTGATCTGATGGATTACTATGTTGAGAAACAGTTTCTAGGAATCTAACTGGCCACAATCTTACTGCTGAAATATGAATAGATTGACTGTAAAAGCAAGGTGTATTTTTTTAGTGAGGATTAGTGGTTGATGTGTATTGTGGCATGGATACAATTCTGATTTGGAGTGCCAGTTATGGAAAATTCTTTTTTTTTTCTTAAATGCGACTAAAGAAAGTTAAAAAATATTTCAGAGGCTAGAGGGGTGGTGGAAAGGTTGACAACTCAGTCTCTCCTTATTAGTAGTTCATGGCCATTACTATATCCCCAGGTTTGTTGTCAAATGTTTGCCCATTACATATTTTCCGTTTTACCATTTTCACCCTGATTTTCCTTTCCCCTAGTCCCTTCATGCCTCATACAAAGAGTTTAGAGACTGTCAAAGTCCATTAAAAGTGGCTTAAACATGTAATCAAGAAAAGGCAGCAAGGTTGGGACCAGTGGACCAGTACATCAATAACATATAAATACAGTACATTTTATCCTTTGATCAAGCATTGAAAAATAGATGTATTTAACAAAGGATGTTGGGATTTAATGTATTCATGCCCTGTGAAAAAAAGCTATTAAAATGTCTTCAATTTTACAGACCAGGAAAGTCATCTTGGGGAGGGTAGGTAGGTCACATGCTGGTTAATTCATGCAATGGAGCTCAACCTACTCTACTGTCCATACCAACTTCCATTCAGAACGCCTGGTTTAGTTGAAAGTCTTTACGGTTTCTTTAGATAATTATGAAATAAGCTGATCAACAATCCTGTAGCATTTTCCTTCTATCTCCTGCCTACATTTTCCAGCGCAAGAAGGGATTACAAAATATTTATTTCTTAGAATTAGTCAAAGATTTAAAAATCTTAAATACTTAGACTTATAGATGAAAAATGCTAGGACACTTTTTTTCCAAAGTCCTTACTAAAGGAATCCCACTATCACTGCAAAAGAAAATTCTGTAGAAGAGATATTCCTGATCTGAAAATTTGCACTTAGCCAGAAAATATGTGGATTTTATAAAAGCTGCAAATAGACATTAAAAAAGAAGAAGAAGTAGTGTCCCCCTTTAAGAACAATGCTCAATCATATTAGGCAAGTTTTTGGTGCTTTTGGTCCCAGGTCTCTATTTAATTGTCATAAATAATGATAATTTAATAATGACCCTATAGTGCATACTTCAAAATTATACATTAGACCAGATATTTCAAGGGCATTTTTGGTAACCACAACTGATTGTAATTTTCACACTCTCAATTGCATTCATAATTAGTGAGAACCATGACAATCTGTCAATTGCTTTTACTCATTAAGGTATTAAATAAGCCAACATTTCTCACTTAATTTTCTAACAATTTTACTTCCGATATAAAGTCTAGAATTCATATACACCACATTAAAAAGATATGAAAATATATAAACTAAAACACTACTGAAAAGTTTATTCATTCTAACTATTTTGTATTTTTTGTTGAAAAAAATCCGTACTAGAAACTGCATTTATAAAATCTAATGAACATTTCAGAAGTAAATGAATTATTCTCTTTTAAGACGATTTAATGTTTCAAGTAGAATTTCCCACTTTGCTACACTTTGAATGATACAATTTTTGTTTTGATAGGAAAACAGAAAGTTAATGACTCTTTCCAATTTGTTCATTTTCATCTCTTATGCTTGCTGCTATTTGGTTCCCAAGTGCATTTTAACTGGCAAGTTCAATGAAGATTTGGCATTGCACCATTTGATGAAAGCAGAAAAATTAGGTTGCCAATTACATATGTGCCCCTTATGTGCACTGAATTCCCAATGAATGATGAGCCAAATTAGAAATTCTTCAGTAGTGGTACCTAAAAAGTAAAATTAGTGTGTCTAGGGAAGGTAAGGAGATAATTTTTATTTCTTTAAAAAAAAGATCTTATTTATTTATTCATAAGAAACACAAAGAGAAAGGCAAAGACAGAGAGAGAAGTAGGCTCCCCAGGAGATAACGTTTTTTAACAATGCTATTAATATAATGAAATGTATAAGATGTTTTAGAGAGTGAATTAACTTTAAAATATTTGCAAACAGGGCAGCCCCGGTGGCGCAGCGGTTTAGCGCCGCCTGCAGCCCAGGGCGTGATCCTGGAGACCCTGGATCGAGTCCCACGTCGGGCTCTCTATATGATGCCTGCTTCTCCCTCTGCCTGTGTCTCTGCCTCTCTCTCTCTGTCTCTATGAATAAATAAATAAAATCTTTAAAAAATATATTTGCAAACAATATAGAGGAACTATAAGAAAATAAATTAGGTATGCAGATGATGTGAAGGAATATTTGCTATCAGAGAGATAGTGATGACGCTTGAAAACACCAAGATCGCTGATGCACCGGCATCTTTGAGAGGCCCTAACGGCAGCTCCACAAGGAGGTTGAGCCTCACTAATCCGTGTTGCCCTCCTCTCCTCAGGACAGGACATCCAGCCCAAGAGGGACCTCACCTGCTTTGTCAAGTGGCTGCGCTACCTCCAGCTGCAGTGGCAGAGGGCCATTCTGTATAAAGGTCTCAAAGTGCCTCCTGCCACTTCACCCAGGCCTTTGACCGCCAAACAGCCATGCAACTGCTTAAGCTGGCCCATACGTACAGACTAGAGACAAAGCAAGAGAAGAAGCAGAGGCTGTTGGCCTGGGCCGAGAAGAAAGCTGCGGGCAAAGGGGATGTCCCCATTAAGAGGCCGCCTGTCCTTCGAGCTGGGGTTAACACTGTCACCACCTTGGTGAAAAACAAGAAGGCTCAGCTGGTAGTGATAGCCCATGATGTGGATCCCACTGAGCTGATTGTCTTCCTGCCTGCCCTGTGTTGTAAGACAGGGGTTCCCTACTGCATTATCAAAGGGAAAGCCAGGCTGGGGCGTCTGGTCAACAGGAAGACCTGCACCACTGTCGCCTTCACACAGGTTAACTCAGAAGACAAAGGAGCTCTGGCTAAGCTGGTAGAAGCAATCAGGACCAATTACAATGACAGATATGATGAGATCAGCCGCCACTGGGGAGGCAAGTCCTGGGTCCGAAGTCAGTGGCTCCCATTGCCAAGCTGGAAAAAGCAAAGGCTAAAGAACTGGCCACCAAGCTGGGCTGAGTGGACGCTGTTGAATTTTCTGTACATAAAAGTAATAAAAGGTTCTCTTTCAAAAAAGAAAGAAAGAAAGAAAGAAAGAAAGAAAGAAAGAAAGAAAGAAAGAAAGAAAGAAAGAAAGAAAGAAAGAAAGAAAGAAAGAAAGAAAGAAAGGTAAAGGCCACTTTTCCTCGCTTTAGCCTAATAGAGTAAAAGAAACTTTTTTTTTTAAGATTGTATTTATTTATTCATGAGAGACACAGAGAGAGAGAGACAGACAGACAGACAGACAGAGGAAGAAGCAGGCTCCATGCTGGAAGCCCAATGTGGGACTGGATCCCAGATCCCGGGACAAAGGCAGACACTCAACCGCTGAGCCACCCAGGCGTCTGGATAAAAGAAATTTTTTAAAAATTAATTGTAAATTCGTTATTAACATTATGAATTTCTTTCATATTACTAAAAGGTAAATTATCCTTTTGTGACACTGTTGCAACATGGAAGTGGCATTATGAGTACCATAGAGCAAGAAGACTTTAATGGAGATTGAGGCTGAAACCTGCATTTGGTTCAAGATCAAACGCTGATGAGAAAGTGTAAGAGAGAAGACAGAAGGATTGACAAAGCACAGGGAAAACTCGATTTTAATATGGCATTAATTGGGGCAGCCTCCAGGTAGAGCATGGTAGAAAAGTATGTCGATAGAACTATCTTTCAGAAATTGGTAATGGTGCGACACATACCTGGCAAATCGTCTTTTTTTGTGTGTGTGGCGGAAATACAGCCTGATAGCAGAAGAGTGGGTTCTGTTCATGATCTTGCTCTGTGAAGAACACTAAAGGCCAGCCAGGTCAACTGACCAGGATTTCAGAAGAGAATCCTTGGCAAAAGCTAAGTCCAAATGATTGTGTCTTAATACTCACTGCAATGAGCTTTTTGATCTAGGAACTATGCAGGCACCAAGGATCCAACCCACAGACAAATGTCATAGCAAGACTTCAGGTGAATGTATGCCAGTGTCCTTGTAACATGGGCTACCATGTCCCAGGTTTACAATTCTAAACCCATTTAATGGTCAGAGATGGTAAGCAGGGGGTGTAGAGAAGCGTCACTTGCCCAGCAGCTGAGGTAATCCTGAGTTTCCAGGAAACTATCCAGTTTAGAAAGCTGAAAAAATTTGAAGTTGGGGCAGCCCCAGTGGCGCAGCGGTTCAGCACCACCTTCAGCCCAGGGTGTGTTCCTAGAGACCTGGGATCAAGTCCCAAGTCAGGCTCCCTGCATGGAGCCTGCTTCTCCCTCTGCCTGTGTCTCTGCCTCTCTCTCTCTCTCTCTCTCTCTCTCTCTCTCTCTCTCTTAAATAAATAAAATCTTTTTTAAAAATTGCAGTCACAGGAGGAAAGAACTGATATCAACATTAATGTTCTCTGAATTTATGCCTCTATTTTCTAAGGGAAGTAAACTGTATTAAAAATAATGTTTATCAACATAAAACCAAGGGTATTTTTATAAGAAAATTTACCAGTAGAAATTTTTCCTTTCATATAATTTCCTTCTTTTTATTTTTATATCCAGATGTGATTAATGAGGCCTTTTGGAAAACAACCTCAGGATCTCTCACCTTCGCATGAGGTAATTTTCACATTCAGATACTTTTTTTTTTTCTGATTGCAATATTACAAAAAAATATTTAACCCAATTAATTGGTTCATTTGTTGATGTCTCTATGGGTTACATCTATCAAAGTGATTTTTTTCTTGAACTTTGGAATTGTTTTGTTATGATTATCCCCAGGCATCTATGTGTTTGTTGGGATTTCATTAAAAGAAATAGAACCTGATACATTTTTTAGAAAAATAATCAGTTAAATCATCTCTTAAAATAGTGTGTTGATAAAAAGCTGAATCTATAACAATAAATCTATAAGTTCTATAAATAGATCTAATAGTAATAATAGAAGAACCGAAACAAAGCTGTGATAGTACTTTTGTACTACTTAGGTATGTAGTAAAAATAGGCAATGCAAATAAAATAATCTAAACCATATTAAACCAGTACTTAAGCAGGTTGGAAACTGGTCTTACCATCTGTCAGTTTCTACACTGGCAGTTTCACAAATGAGATCTCTTTTTAACAAAACATCACAGCAGGAGATACAGACATGTGAATTGTAATTAAAATGTGAAAAATGCATTTCCTAGTTTTTGTCATTTGTATAAAGCTACTCTTATATTGTGGAATTCTAGACATATGAAATTATGCAAAAATGAAAGTCATTTTTATTTTGCCAAATCTATACATTGTTTGACTAAAAATTTTTACTTCAGTAATGACTGCACATGCTACCATGAATTAAAGTGTTTTTCCCTTATGTCTGGTACACTCAGTAATGAGATTCAATTATTTTTAATCATCAAAATGTAGAATATGAAGAGAAATAATTTGTATATTTTAATGCAGTCTAGATCTGCTAAGGACTAATTTTATTATTGTAATATTTAACTTGCCATTATATTATGTGAATAAATGAATTTTATTCACTTTCTGGAAAAAATAAACCTAAATAAGATTAATTTTCAGTTCCCATGTTCAACCTCTTGGATGTTATCTAGAAATTTAAGTTGATGTCAAAGATAGCAAGTATTCTTGACCTTTATCATTATGGAACTTACTATGTGCATGTATATTATATAACCAAACCCATTTGCATTCTAAACCTACTACTGGGGTGTAAAAATGCTTTATTTTGCACTCTCTTCACTTCCAACTTTTCCTCCAAATGTTAACATTTTAACCAACAAGTTGGGTATTGAGGTAGGAATGAGTTATTAAATCACCATGTAGTTGTTTCAAGTATAGCTGTCACAAAATATCCTATCCCATGTGTGCTTCTTACAATGAGATGTTGAAACCATTCTGACTGAGAGGTAAGGATTATGTCCCTTCTTAAACCTGAGCAGACTTTTGTGACTGCCTCCACCAATAGAATATGGTGAAAATAATGTTATGTAATTTCCTAGGTTAAGTCATAAAATCAATCACTTGTCAGTCACTTTTTGCTTGTTCTCTTGGGACAATTGCTCTTGGAACCTAGTCACTTGCTATAGAAACTATGTAGGGGACCACATAGAGAAGAATTGATGCCTTCACCCCTCAACAACATCAGACAGACTCCACATACTCCACATGTACCCAGTACCAATTTGCAAGCCACATAAGTGAGCCATCTTGGAAGTAGACCTTCCAGCTCCAAATCTAACCACTCCAGCCATCCATGTAGACCAAAGACAAGCTGAGCTGTAATAATTTTTTCACTGCTGCATAATGAATCTGCCACAAACATAGTGGCTTAAAATAAAAGTCAATTTATTAGATCACAGTTCTGTGGATCAGATTCTTAAAAGATGTGGCTAGTTCTCTGTTCGATATCACAAGCCTGATATCAAGGTGTGAGCCAGACTGAGTTCTCATCTGAAGGTTCTGGGGTACAAATGAGCTTCCAAACTCTTTCTAGTTTTTGGCAAAATTCAGACCTTAGAGTTTAGTTCAAAGGTCTCTGTTTCCTCGACACATGGCTGCTTCCTTCTTCAAGCCAGTAACAGTAGCTTTGAATCTTTCTCATGCTTCAATCTTCAAGTTTCTCTTCCTCCCCCAACCAGAGAAAACTCTGCCAGTAGACATAAGCCAATGGTCAGCTTATGACTGACTTACTCCTCATTATATCCCCAGTGCTCAGCTGAAGCAAAATAATGCGTGCTCAAGGAATTTTGGTGCCTTCTGAATGCTTATGACATCCAAGTTTCCATCTCCAGCCCTGAACTACTAATTCATTTCTACCTACCTCCTTAGCATTCCTACCTCTATATAGAAGCCTTCTGGATTCTTCTCAACACCTGTTGAGGTGGTCTTCCCTATCTCAATATCTGCTCTATTCTTCTGGTTGTTTGTGTTAAAGACCTTTGGGTCATTCTTAGTTTCTCTTTTTCCTTTATAATACACAGCTAATGTGTCAGCAAATCCTGTTTGCATTATCTTCACATTATATAGAGTATTCAATCACTTCTCTAAACTTCCACTGCTATGACCTAGTTTAAGCCACCATCATCTTTCACCTGGGTTATTGTGATAGCATTCTAACTGATCTCTACATACACCTCTGTCCCTCACAGTAATATTTTCAACACAGTAGGCAGCATTATCATGGTAAAATTTAAGTCAGATCATGCCACTCTTCTGCTCAAAATTCTCCAATGGCATTTTACCTCAATGAGAGTAAAAATTGTGAGAAAAGTCTACAGGCCCTACATTTCATAATTCCCCTCCCACATCACCACCGCTATATGCTGTTGCATTTCCTTCTGTGAATTTAATTTCTGGATACATGCAGGAGTCCCCTTCTTACTTCACTTTCTTTCAGACTTTGCTCAAACATAATTTCAGTGAAGCCATCACTGGCTGTTGTATCTAAAATAGAAATTCCACCACTTGCTAACATCCACTTCTGAGCCCCCTTACCTGTTTTTATTTTTCTTAGCATTTCTCTCATTCTAAAATACTGTATTGTATGCATTTATTCTTGTTTATTGTCCATTTTCCCCACTAACATAAAAGATAATGAGGCCAGGAATGTTTCTGTACTCACTGTGCCTAGAGCAGTGCCTTGTACATAGTGATCCTCAGTAATATCTGCTAAATGAATAATGAATCACTGAATAATAGCACAAGACCATATATTCAATGACGGAAGCACATACAAAAAGTGCAACAAGGGGATAAGAAGGCTTCAACCCTTTCTTCACTGACTTTTCTGAAAAACAAAAGCAAATTCTTGCCATTTTGCATAAGCTTTTTGAAAAGTTTTTATATAATTCTTTTATAATTTCAGTATTTATGAAGCATGTGGTAATTGAGAAATGTGTCCTCACAGTGATTCTAAAAGCAGATGGCAGTCGTTCATTTATTCATTCAGTCCACAAATATTTATTGAGTGTCTACTATGTGCCAGGAGCTAGACAAAGGTGAATAATAAATATTCACAAATTTTAATCAAGCATTGACAATACACTAGGCCGAACATTAAACTATGGCAAAAGAGAAGTAAAAGATACAGTCCAGACATCTGATAATCTAACAGGAAAGATGAATAAATGAACAGATAATTACTAAACTGTGTGATAAGGGCTACAATAAAGGCAAAACATTTTTAAATATTATGTAATACAGGTATAAATAATCCAAACTTAAGGGATAGGTTGTCAGGGAAGGATTCCTATCTGGCTTATGTTCTAAAATATATATCTTGCTTGATTATATAAATTTCATTAGACAAGTGGCAAGAAAATATTATTCTGTTTTCTGGGTTTAATAAATATTTGTTGATTTTTTAGTATTCAAATAATCTTGGGCTTGGCAGTCTTACCAAACACTGAATTTATGAAACTATTTTATTCACTTATAATTAACATGGTATTATGTTAATTTCAATATAGGGATTAACAATTCTATATATGAAATTTTTTAATCTACACATGTTATTTTTTTATCCTTAGAAGTAAAATAATATGGGATTGCTAATTCAAAAGTCTTAAATGGGGGATCCTTGGGTGGCTCAGCAGTTTAAGCCCCTGCCTTTGGCCCCCGGACGTGATCCTGGAGTCCTGTGATCGAGTCCCACATCGGGCTCCGTGTGTGGAGCCTGCTTCTCCCTCTGCCTGTGTCTCTGCCTTTCTCTCTCTCTCTCTGTGTCTCTCATGAATAAATAAATAAAATCTTTTAAAAAAAAAGTCTTAAATGTTTTTCTAGATTCACATGGACATAATGGAAAATTCAAGAGATGAAAAAGTCAATTTTCTAGTCAGGTTCTAATTTATTTATTATTTTTATTTAGTTGACATAAAAACATTATTTTTTTTTGTTTTGAAGTCCTGTATTCAAACTAAAATACCTTAATAAAGAATATAATGTATTGTTTTGCAAGAGCATTGTAATTGGAAAAGTTGTTTAAGTTCTGTGTTTGGTGCATACCCTGTGGCTACTACTTAGGGAAGACACCAATTAGAAATAGCCTAGAAGAATAATCACAAGTTTAAATTAAATCACAGGTCTTCCTGAACTCAAATGATTATGCTAATGTGCATATCTTACTCAATATTTTTTATGTCATAAATTTTTTGAGTTATTTCTATTTTTATCCATATCCTGCATAAATGACAGCCTCAAAATATAGGTCAAGGTGTTGCTAACTGCTTAGAGAAAGTACACACTTGAAATTTCTTTTCCTAAAGATCAAGCTAATGAAAGATGAATGATTGGACTTTTTGAAATTTAGATGCAAAGTTACAAAATAGCTAAAGGTCTACGTCTTATAGATGTAAACACATATAAGCATTAACTGTAAGCAACAAGGATCTGCCAAAAAATGATTTATAGCTAAATTTTTAAGGATTACATCTTAATTTATTTTTTTAAAAAGGTTTTATTTATTTAATCGAGAGAGAGAGAGAGAGAGAGAGGCGCAGACACAGGCAGAGGGAGAAGCAGGCTCCATGCAGGGAGCCTGACGTGGGGGTCTCCAGGATCACGCCCTGGGCTGTAGGCGGCGATAAACCGCTGAGCCACCTGGGCTGCCCAGA